CCCCGGCCGCGAACGCCACCCCCGCCCCCGCCCGCGCTACTACGGCCGCCACCATGGACGACCCGACCACGACGCTGGCGCCCGCGACGGTCGCCGCCTCCTTCAAAGCCAAAGGTGGGCGCCACCACGGTGGCCGCGGACGCGGTCGGCCCACGCCCGGCGACGTGGACGTGGAAGGGAAGCCCCTGGACCCGGTAAGCGCTGCATAGTGTTTTCGATGCGTACTCGTTCCCGGCTGGGGCCGCTGAGCTTACTAACCCTCTCTCCTTCTCGCCCGCTCAGGAGTGGCTCCAGCGGCTGCTAGCTGCAGCCGGGGCCGCGGCGGCCACCAGCTCGTCCGGCCTGGAGGCCCCGGGGGCGGACGAGTTCGCCTCGCCCTGCGACCGCTGGATGGCGTGCTCGGCCAAGCTCAGGCCCGTCATGTGGGCGCAGCTTGCCGCCCTGCCCGCCTGCCCCTGCACCTTCCCGGCCAACGTCTTCTACTACAACAAGATCTGGGACGACAAGCACGGCCGGTGAGTGAGAGTGGAATGGAGCTGTGAGAGGCGTACCGTGTGCGGGTGGAGGACTGACGCCTTGGTTCGCTCTGATTGGCCCACAGGTACTTCCGGTGGCGCGACGCTTCCGGCCGCGGCGAGAGGCTGGACGTGTACCACCCCGGCGCCGCGCACTGCGTCCGCTCGCTGCACACGGCCAACGCCGGCCTGCTGGCGGCCCAGCACTGCTGCTACGACAGGTGAGCCGGTCGGCTAGCGCAGATACCCCGCGCGGCCGAGACTGTACGCGCCGCTCCGTCTGGTGGAGCTACCCCGCGCCGGACGTGCGGCCGAGTCGAATGAGTTGCCTAACCTCCCGGCGCCCCGCGCCCTCTCTCTGCCTCGCAGGAACAGACAGCTGTTGACGCGCGGCTCCGGGGCGGGCACGCCCGCGCTCATGTCCCCCGACGTGTCCGCCGCACTCCACGACATCCTCGACATTCGACCGTGGCGCATCTGCAAAGGGGACTTTACGAGGTGAGTGCCCGAGGAGGGTTAACGTGCGCAGGACAGGAGCAGCGTCGTGCTGTGGACCGACGCTCACGATCACTTTGGATTGCAGGTACAATGATGTTCGGCCGCCGAACAACGACAACGACTGCGCCGCGAATCCAGACGAGGACGAGTTCCAAAGACAGGTCGACATGGCGCAGTTCTACTGATGGTGCCTCAACCCTTGAGCCGAGATCTTGAATGTTGTTTGCGAGCAAATGTGACATGCATCTTAACAGCCGACTGGCTGGGCTGGAGAAAAACTTTGCTCAAAAAAAATTAATAGTGAAACAGTGGTTGTGCTGAGACAATGTACCTGGTCTAGTGTGCAAAGCAATTGTTAATCTGTCTACCAAGTGTTATTTATCATTGTGTAGCGTTAGTAATTTATATCTGTACCTGCAGGGCATTGCCTTGAGTGCTCTGTGTTGAACCAAATGCATGAAGTAGTAAAAAAATGTCAAGAAATGAGTTATGGGGAATAATAAGGAATGCCAATT